TGCAGCTATTGCTTATATCCCTGCATGGAGTCAAAATGGATTTTTGAAAACATATTTGGCAAAATAATTCACCACAAATAAAATACTTCAGTAAAGCCAAAAACTTTTGACAGCACTTTGCCTTTGAAATATTAGATCATTTTTTTAAAAGAGGGGAAAATATTCTCTGATATTCTTGTCTCTCATCACTGTAGACACCAGAGAAGATGAGAGAAGGGAGTACCTCTCTACTTTTATCAGGGAGGTTTTTGGCTCTCCTCCCTGCCCACAGGCAGCTCTGGTTCCCACGGGGCTGTGCTGAAATGGTGTGAAATCTGCTGCCCAGCAAGCAAGGAGGAGGTGTGGGGATGGGGACCCAAAGGAATGGATGTGTCATGCCTGCAACCAGTGCACTGTGATGCTGTGAGCCAAACGGGTCATTTTGCTTCTGCACTCATCAGCAGTGAGGAGCAGATCACACTCAAGAAGAGATGAGGAAGAGGTAGAGAAAATGCATAGAGAAGCTGCTAAAGTGACCTGATCTTGGGCAAGAAAGGTGCTTTGCAAAGGAAACAGTATCTGTCTACTAGGTTTGCTGAAGGAGATTTTGGGCAAAAACTGTCTTCACATGAAGAAGGTCTGGGATGACAGGGGCTGCCCCAGCTGAGGAAGGGAAAGCACAGTGACTTTCTGCAGGCAGAAGCTTATGCAGAAAAATAATTCAGACTGGAAATATGATAAAAAATACTAGCGGTCAAGACAAATAACCTTTGGAAGAATTTACCAGAAGGTGCCACTGGTCTCCTTCACGTGAAACTTCACAGTTAGGCTTTTTGGAAAGGATGGGCTCCAACCAAAGTACGAGAAGTCAATATGATGTGCCATGTGCTTTACAGGGAGCAGGCTGGAAGGCTACAACACTCCTCCCAGTTTTAAAAATTACTGGTGCTACTTCCCTAGGGATGTGCCCTCCAATGCCCCAGCACAACAGTTGTAGGTGTTGAGGGAATACCAGGAGAAAGGACAGCAGGTGGTGGCCCCTGCCTATGAGCCGACTCAAAATGCCATCTCACATAGTCACAGCTGGGGACAGGATGCTGGGCTGGAGGGACCACTGGGCTGGGCTAGTGAGACATTTCTTATATTCTTGCTTAAAAGGTCTGGTGGACAACAGAGGGAAATGGGAGCTAACAGTGCAAGCACCTCTCCTCAAAATCTGCTCTAAGACGCAGGAAAGCGGATGAAGTTTGCATCCAAAGGATCTAGAAAACTGCCTGATGTCCCAGCTGCCCCAGGGGAAATGCATCCTCGGTGTGCCCCATTCCCCCCAAGACTACAAAAGGAGCTGGGCTGACGCACACAGAGGTAGACACACAGGAGAGGTGCCCAGTTGGCATGGATCCTAATCCTCCAGCCCCTAGCCAGGCAGAACATGGACTCACACCATGGCTAGAAGGTGGCAGGGACCTGTTTAAATAGCCAAGTAGTTATTCAGTAAAAGATGGCTGAGGGTATAAAAGAGGTCTTTCCCTACCCCAGGACACAGGGAAATATAAGTAGCAGAGAGAGAGCACGTTCAGCATCAGCCAGCACTGCCAGATATACTGCTGGCACCGAGCAACGGGGCTGCACAAGCAGGCGGGTGAGCTGCCTGAGTGGGTATCGATGCTGTGCTGAACAGCATCTGCCTCTCCTGTCCTTGGGGTAAAATCTAGTGCCAGTGTTGTCCGAGGCAGGTTAGTTTTCCCCTATGGCTGTCAGTCATGGAGGGCAGCCTGGTGCCACCTGCACGGGAGTCATTCTGTGGATGTCGGTGAGAGGAACTTACCCAGATTTCTACAAGTAGGGATGAGAAGGGACTTGGATTCACTGTGGTGTCTGGTGGGGTCAGGAAAGGAGAAGAGCATGTAGGAAGGTCACCCCCAAAAGTGCCCAGTCAGAAAGATAAAGAAATCCGATTGAAACCCAAGCCCTGCAATTTAATGTCAGGTTTGGACCGAGCAATGCATCTCCCAGGCTGTCGTCCTGCCAAGTCGCACAGTGCCTGGACACCCGTGGTTTCCTCTGAGTGTTTCCCTTTCACCTTGGCATCTCAGAGAGAAAGCAGAGCGGGCAAACTGGAAAGCTAGCACTGCTGCGGCCAGTTTTTATGTCTAGCTGATCCTATTATCATGCTAACCTGATGCAGCTGCACCAGCAGCTGAGCTGTTAGACCATTATAATCCCATGAGTATTATGGCGATGCCACTAGAGCTGATAATTTGGCAAAATCTGGATCCTAATAAAGATTTAGCCTGTGGTCTTTTGCCACATCATGCTTGCATATTACAGAATTAACTATCTTGGAAATAACACCTACAGTCACCAGAAATTTGCAACCAACAGTTAAATGGGATTCATCAAGTGCCTCTTGCACATGGGCTTGTTCCTTCTCTCTGGCTTCATCCATACAGCTACATAATGCTGTTGATGACCTGTTCCATGGTTTGGGGCCAGGTAGGGCAGCAGACCTTGCATCCCCAAGCCTGGATGAGACCACCACAAACTCAAATTAATGGAGTTATGCTGGTCAAGAATCCCTGTGTGTGAAAGCAGAAGGAAGACTTGGATCTATACCCGCACACCAGACCATGCTGCTGAGCTTTTGCTTGCAAGCAGAGCTGAGTGCACAGCCAGCTGTCCCAGCTCAATGGATGCAGGGTCCCTTGTCAAGCTGGTGCTTGATAAGTCGTGTGTTGAAATGCGGTGAGTGTTGTGTATGGGTCTTGAGACACAAACAATACGGGCAATAAAGCATTTTCCAAAAACTTCGCCGTGAACGTGAACTCGCACACTGAGCAAGAGTTACCTTCAGATGCACCGAGTGCTTATCTTCATCCTTTTGCACAAATATTGCAGGGGGGCAGGTGCTCCTTAGAAGGTCGCATGTAGAAAGCAAGATGGGCACAGATGCATATGAAGATCTGGGCGCTGCAAAAGTCCCTCACCCACCCTTGAAGGGGACCTTTTCTTTGCAAGAACGACAACCCCTTTTGTATATCAACCCTGTGGCCGGGAAATGAATTTAGGTTAAAGATGTCCTTGTGTGCCTGTGGGATCAGGAACACCTCTCGTGCCCCCCCAGGAAGGCAGCTGGGTATCAGGGGGGCTGGACAGCAGGGATGAGGGGTGCCATCTCTGCTACCCATGGATGCGGCCATGCCCCCCAAGTCTAGGCATTCAGTTGAGTCAATAGGTCAAACAGAAATAATCCCAGGGGATTTAGGTGGTAATAACCAACATAAATAGCAAGAACCTTTTGTTTGTTTAAGGATTTGATGGCATAATACTTGCACTGATAACTTTCAGACTGAAATTTGCTGGTATAAAATGTTTGTGCAGCTACCAACTACAAACCAGGAAGAAATAAATAATAAATAACTGGATGCTCATAGTTACTTTGGGAACAGAGAAAATGATACATTTAAGCAAATAAATTTGCTCACTTGTCCTCAAGTCTGTCTGAAAATATTCTCAAAGTGCCTCCCAGCGCTGCAAAAATTATCTCCTGTTCTCCTTTCTAAGCACATGTTAAGAACTGAGATACATATTCCTCCTGTCTTCAGTGTTTTTTGGGGAGGGGGGGGAGGTTGTGTTGTCAGCTGTTCCAGCATTCATAATTTCCCACTTATTTATCTACCTAGGCCTTCTTCTTTTTTTTTTTTTTTATTTTTTTTTTTTTTCATGCACAGGCTCTCTGCAGTCTGGCAGTGCCAGTATTGCAGTATTGATTTAGGAAAAAGGCAATTGTGACAGTCCAGTCCCAGGCTGAAACCCATGCTGTACTGGGGCTGCTCTATCCAGAGTAGCAGCCTCACCCCCAGCACAGGGTTCACGTCTAAAAAGAAGCAAAAAAAAAAAAAAAAAAAAAAAAAAGAAAGAAAAGCTACTTCTATCTGTTTTGCTTTGAAGGGAAAAGGGATTACCAAGGCTAAATAAGCCATCTGAGCACTTAGCTAGCAAGCCTAAATAGCACCCTGATAGGAAGTTCTGGCAGAGAGCTAATTAAATTAACTCTCTCTGATTTATTAACAAGCACAGCAACATATCACACAGGATTGTCCCGTGAAATGAATGTGCTTTCTGATTCCCTCGGCTGCTTCGGCGCGGTCACCTCCTGGAAACCCCAGTTATGGGGACTCAAGTTTAATGAGACTCAATGACTCGAAAAGGATCCCTGCCCACCAACAGAGATATGCACTGGTAATAATATGCAAAAGCGTGTTATTTTCCTTGCACTTCCCTAATTCCTTTTTAATGCCTAGGACGATCTAATGGCTAATTCGTAATTTCCTGCCCACCGATATGCAGATGAATGACAAGCCAAAGCCTTCAGCATGTTTAATTATTCTGTTGATTTAGAAGCTACTTTTCCCTCAGTGCAAGTTTCTCTCTGTGTGTGCTCTCATGCATCATGTATTTCATTATTTTTAGAAGCACGCTCTGTGCCTTTTTATGCTCTCATAGTTCCAGCATCTAGTAATTGCCATGTTTTGTGTCCAACGGACTCGATCCACCGGCAAGTGTAAATCAGGAAAACATCGCTGACTTTAAATGAAGTTATGTCAAGTTACACCAGACCCGAGCCCTGACCTCTCTTATTTTTAGTGGTGGGGCAAATGTTATTTGTGTGCTGGGACCCTTGTGAAGTAGCAGAATATAAAATTCAGAAAACTTCAGAGTGGTGAAGATCCAAATCAAAGCCTGCAAATGCACAGACGTGAATCTATTTATATAGCGAGCTCTACTTCTACTTAACCCCTGCAAGGAACTGTAACTCTCTTTGCATATTTGATTTTTCTCCCTCAGTAAAACATAGTCTACTTAATCTATTTTTGATACTTCCTAACAGTTTCACTGGTGGGCTTCTTCCCTACACCTTACCTTTACCTTTGGGTATCTGAGCGCTCTTTTGTTAAATTAAGGCAATTAATAAACGGAGACGTTAAGCAATCAATTTTGCCTGCATATCTCCACAGCCTTACGTATGACTGGCTGTAATCACAAGATAAATGCAATGTGCTGATGTATGGTAATGTTCAATAATGCATTCTCCACCAGGCTCGATTCATCAGGGAGTTTCTGGAGGGGAGGCATTCGTTATTGGCTGTCTCCGGACCTCAAGGATAACATTTCTGTCCTTTCCATTGGCCACCCCGCTGCTGCAAGCGTCTTCCCGTCTTATTTTGATGATGAATATGAAGGCACGCTAAGCTGTGCCGGAGCGTAGCGCTCGCCGACTGCACTCCCTCCCCGGGCTCAAGGACTCAGGGGCTCCCTCGCCGCTTCCCCTGCCCACCAGCAGCAGCAGCAGCAGCAGCAGCAGCAGCAGCAGCAGCAGCAGCAGCAGCAAACGCCAAAAGTTGTGATGCTTTTCTTCACCCAGTGCTTTGGGGCTGTGTTAGATCTCATTCACCTGCGGTTTCAGCACTACAAGGCAAAGAGGGTTTTCTCAGCCGCCGGGCAACTTGTCTGCGTCGTCAACCCAACGCACAGCCTAAAGGTGAGTTAAAAATGTTTTTTTTTCTCCTGACGTCTTCTTGTCTTCCCCCTCTTCACCACCACCGGCGTTTCTCCGCAGGGAATGAAATGATGCTCTGGCAGCAAGGGGAGAGTGTTGTTAACACATTGCAGCCCTGGCAGAGAGGATGTTTGCATTGTCTGGCTGCATGATTTCCTTCGGAGCAAAGGAGAAGCAGCCCTCTGCTCCAAGCGATTGTGGGAAGTTGCTGCTCCCCCTCCCCAAAGTTTCTTCATTCTTTTCACCTGTGTAATGAGCATGCATGTTGCAAGCGTCTGGAAAAAATGATTGGGAAAGTTAGTTGGATGAATTAATGTCCCTTTTTTGGTGGAGGGATGCTGGGTGGTCTCCTAGGCTGACACCCAAGCACAAGATGCTGCCAGGCAGTGGGGAGCAGGGAGAGGAGGGGGTGGCAGCACAGGGGTCACTGGCTGCTCGTCTCGTTTGCTTTTTGGGGGGAAAAAGAATGTTTTTGTCTCCTGAGGGGAATCCGAAGGCATTCCTCTGGTGCTGAAACTGTCCTTAAGCCGTTTACAAGGTGAATCTATTTTAGGCAGGAGAATACATTTGCCTTAATGCAAAACTATTTATAGTCCCCATAAAACATTTCTCTTACTCACACGGTTCTGGGTTTTCACTGACAAAGTGTCAACAGCTTCATCTATGTCAGAGCCTTGATGTTTGTACATAAAGAAGCAGCAGCAGGAGACAACGACTTGAGAGGTTTTAATTACTTTATCACAGTAGTGAATGGTCAACTTTAACAAAGTGGCTCCTTTTTTGTCGGAAGTCCTTGCGGACCTGATTTGTGATGCCTCTCCGTTAGCTCAGTGAAAGCTCAGAAATTAATTTAATTCAGGACAACTTATCTTTGGCTCTGCTGTGGGTCCCTGCGAGGAACTCGGAGGAGTTGCAAGGAGCATTTTTGCCAAGCTGCAGGTCGCTGGGAGGTCCACCGATGGAGTAAATCCCTCTTCAGAGCAGCATCCCCTCCACAGAAAAGGCTGATTTCCCAGGGTTATATTTCCAGTCTTAGGCTGAGCTCAGGCAGGGAGAGGTTATTTCCAGCAAGCCACCAGCTCCGGGAGGATTTCTGCACAAGGCTGTGCTCAGCCCAGCGAGCGCTGCCGGCTGGGGCAGACGGTCCCAGGGGATGGACTGCTTGGGTGCGGGCTCATCTCTCCCAGTATCATGTTCCTCTGCTGACACAAGCTGTTTAAAAAACCCTCAGCCCTGTCATTATCTGAAAGGATCTGGTCATCCAAATAGATAAAAGGAATAGCCGCATTCCGAAGTGCATGGGGAGATTTTGTAAATGAATGCTTCTGTGCTTGACCCCTTTTATCTGACTGTCTCCTGCTACTTTCATCTATAATTTTAATTATTTAAAAAAAAAAAAAAAAGAGCAGGAAAAAGGTTATTAAAGGTCACAACACAATATCAGTGCCAGCGGCACTTTCTGATGAGGTCTCATAAGCACACAGAGGAGTGTCCACTGAGTGCTCCACTGGTATCTAGGACTAGACCTGAATTTATCAGTTCAGGTCCTCTCAAGTTGCAGATTTGTTATTGTAGGGGCGGTGGCATTTTACCTTTGAACATATAAAAAAAAAAAAAGTTGATACTTCTGTTCCTCTCTGTTAAACACACAGAGTATTTCAGTTTATGAAAATCCCCCGTGACCAAACTGTTCACTGCTCAGACCCAAAGTACGTTAGAGAGATGAGCAATCTCAGTGCTCTCTTGGCAGCTCTTGAAAGTAGGCATTGGAGGCAAAACTCTCTTGGAAACAAATGGGAGCCTCTAGGAAAACTGACGTGTCTGTGAAGCCCCAGTGAGAATCATCTTGACTTGGGTGGGAATCGCTCCCCTGATAGGACTGCAGTGGGAACCCGATGGCACGTGTTTCCACACGCAGGCCTGTTGACACATCAGGCAGATGGACAAGCTGGCAAGAAAACTCTCAGCTCTGAAAGAAACCCTCTGACTGTAAAGTCAAATATGCTTTGAAGGTGCTCCCAAGTTGCACAGCTCACATCCAGCTGGGTAAATACGGCAGGCTTTAGCACCGATCTGCTCTCAGGATGTTCAGTTTGGTTTCCCACCCGCTCTGTGCCAGCTTTGTGCCAGCACCCAAAAGAGACGGGCGGGTCGGACCCCTCTGTGCCCAGCAGGGCACCACCAGCACCCACCCGCCAGCAGCAAGGGGCCATCGGAGCCTTCGGGCCAACGCCAGCTGTCTCCCAGCGAGACACCTCGCCCCACCTGCCTGGCGATGGGAGAGGTGGTCACCTCTAGCTGGCGAGGCACCGTGTCCAAAAACTGGTGTCAGAGGCAAGCCAGATGAACCTGCTTCTTGGGGGTGCCCACTTCTTCCCTCGGGATGCACAGGGAGCCTGTGGTTGCTCCCCTCCAGCAACCTGGTGCAGAGATTTCTGAAGCTGGAGCAGGGAAATCCCCCCCCCCTACTGCCAAAACTGTCCTGTCTACCAAATGACACCTGAGGACCCTTAAAAATGAAAGGGCCAAATGTATTCCTCTGTGGTGGTTTACAAGTATTATGGCTACTTTGATGCTTCATAGTCTATTATTTCTAGCTGGGTCATTTCAACTGTAACATTTTGTTGACAGCCCCCAGATCTATCTTAACAATTGACAAGTGGAGTGAAAACTGTATTAAGGTTCACGGTCGATGAATACAAGCCTGCTAGGAAACAAGGGCTAGGAGCAATGCCATTTCTCTCCCTTCCTTTCAAGGCTTAAATGTCTGTGCTTAAACCAAAATTGTAAGGTCTTCGAGAAGGGATTATTTTATTCTGTATCTCCACAGCACCCAGGTGAGGGGGCTTCTGGCTGACTTGTGGAAATGAGAAGTGACAGGCATCATATTCTGGTGTGATTATGCACGTTGACATCCCTTATGTAGGTCAGGTCCTCAATCAGTGCCAACACACATAACTCCATTAAAGTCAAATTGCAGCAGGAGCTCCATTCTCACTTCTTCCATCCAGGGGAGTTCTCAGAGGTGGTGATGGGATCCAGCCCACCTTGAGGACCCATGGTTGGTGATTATATAAATGCGTCGGAGATTTGGCATCATGTAAAGCACTCGGTGAGCAGCAGCGGGCAGGGGAGCCCTGGTACCCTCCAGGGAAATGTTGCACCAGCTTCTGCTGTCCCAGACCCATAGTTAGACCAAGTGGGACTTCCAGTAAAGTTGTGTCAGCATGCTGTCATCGTGACCAGCCCATCACTTACCGCTTCCCTTAGGAGAGGTCTGGAGGTTGGCAGAGAAACGCATGCTTAGAAAGAAACCTGTGTCTTTCTTCCCTCTGAAAGGCTCATTAACTGAGAAGGCTGATGAGCGATTCAGTGTATCTTAAAGGAGAAGATGGTAAGAGTGTCAACGCAGACACCTCTATTGATCTGCTGCTATTTTCCCTGTGCATGACAGGCTGGCACAGGCAGCTCTAAACAAGGAAAGACAATTTTGCTACCATCCCTGCTCCATTTTGCCTGTTTGGAAAGGGTATGATTAGGGTGTGGGGGTGTTGTTTTGGCACCTCGTTGTCCTTCTCACTGCTTTCTGCTCTTTGTCCTCTCACGAGCTTTCCCAGGCATGGCAGTAGCACCTTACAATGCAATGCTACGCTAGGATCAGAATTCACTTGCCAAGCAGAGAAAACCACATATTTACCTCACTTCTATAGGTCACCTTCATTCTCAATTGTATTATATGCATTACCTTGTAACCTGTTTTCCTTCAAGCGTATGGTCGCCCTGACATCTCCCCTAGGAGATGCATGGCCAGGCAACAGAGCTCCCCAGCCAAGTGGCTGCTCCCTCCAAGGACATATTAATTAGAGGAGCACCTCTTATGCTGCTGGCTTCAGGCTCCAGCATGCGGGGAAAGTTTTGAGGCACTCTGTGTATGGAGGAAACCAGCAGGGTTAGCTGGTCCTGCAGAGATGAGACTCAGTAAATTCCTCTGCGTTTCCCCCCTGTTAATAGCAATTCTCCCCAGCGCTGCTAATTGCACCCTGGGGAGAAGGTGAAGGTGAAGGTGGGCGGTGTGTCCTCGCTCCTTAGCTGGCATCGGTCCCTGTCCCAAAAACCAGCCGTACGCGGCAGGGGACTGCAGTGCAATCACAGCCCAGCCGGGCGCCAATGCTCTGCAAGGTGCTGTGTATGTCTGGGTAAAACAGATCTTCTTCATTCAAGGAGTTACTAGCTTTTTACAGGCAACTTTCACTATTTGGGGAGTGTGAAAAATGTTCTTGTAAAGAGTAAAAAAGTGTGTTTACAATGTTCTTATAAAAGCCACCTGTCTCCATTTCTGTAGGACTTCAAGGAACTCGTTGAATTAAAAAGGCAGCATATTTAAAGGAGGGCATAAATAGTTCAGTCTTATATTCAAAAAGGGTCATAACATGGTTTACGGGGCCAAGCTGTCTTCTAGCTGGTTTTGAAAGCAACAAGAAAATCTGCTTTAAGTTAGGGAAGGGATTTGAATCCTGTCATAGCAGCTTGGCTCTGCATGCAGTGGCCAGCCAAATAGCATTGTAATCCACTTTATCCCCAGCAGGATTAAAGTGCTATGGTGCATTATACCCCCATGAAATTTATTTATTTATTTATCCATTTATTTATTTATTTATTATTTTTTTTACTTACTTACTTATTTACTTACTTACTTAATAACTTATTTATTTGATGCAAGGGAAGAGAGATACTCTGAAACTTGCTGTTAACAACTTCCAGACATCCTCTTCCCAGACACCATCTCAGCCCTCAAATCTCCTGTGCAGGGCTGTGATTTGGGGACCCCAAGTGGCATTTGGCCCCCATGTCCAGCAGGATTGTGACAGCCACAGCAAGAGGGGATGCAAAACCCCCTGTTGTCTGCAAACCTCGGCTCCTGGCCAGGTTCCTGGATCCCATCCCAGCTGCGGGCCAGGCTTGGGTGAGCACAGGGCACCTCA